ATATATATATATATATATATATATATATGGTATTTATAATTATTATCAATAGTACGTTGTAAGAAAAATTAGAATTCACATACATACAGACAGCAATTGAAACGTAGGTAACTCTTATTTTCAACGAAATTATTTTTTATGTGAATTCAGTAATTAATCAAAGACGACAACAGGGATAAAAATACAGAAATATATCTCAAAGTGGCAAAATAATTTTCCAGTTTTATATCTTCAAAAATAAGAATCAAATTTTCAACAGATTAAAATGTTTCATATTACATGATATTTCTACCCATCATTAATCTCGTAAATCATATCACTATCCACCGGAAAAATAGCGAGGGAAGGGAAGTCAACAAGAATCAACGTATTACAAAAATAGTTTCAATGAATAAATAAATGGGGTAATTGTTATCATAAAAATTATCTAACAAAGAGATCTCATAAATTGGGACATCTTTAGAACAAACTTCAGATTATCCAAATTATCAGATCAGAATGAAACTTTAACAGTTTGAAGGGCGGGGAGTCCCAAGTACAAATGTAAAATATTATATAGATGATCAGCCATTCAAAAGTTATTAATGAAAAAATATTTCACGCGTATGTCAGTGTAACAAGACCGAACTTCGAAGCGGCGTATGACAGCACGGAAGGGTAACTGCCTGCGAAGTCATAAATCCGCGTTCGACCTGTTGTATTACTGTTCTATTCTATCCAAATCCTCTTTTTTCTTTCTTTTCAATAAAATAAGACTTTTTTAATTATTTTAAGAAAGAGACATTAGAAAAATTAATGAATAGGTTGGATTAGGTGAAATTTATTGATTTTTCATACAACGTAAGGTTACGAGTTTGATGAAAGAGAAGGATATTAATTCATAACTAATTTTTCTTTATATTATTACTTAAATACATTTATTAATATCGAGTGTGATTTGTGGGAACCAATATTTATATCTTGATATACGACTTTCGCTTTCGACATAATCTATATAATTCGCGAAATCTCACCTATATACAAGAAATAAATGCTCGCTTGAACATCTGATCGACACAAGACAATAATCAACAACTCGATTTTCTTTCTTGTCCTCTTTTGATTTGTATTTTGTCTAAAATATATTAGATATGCGCAACATATGGAAAGCAATACATATGCAGAAACACATAACAAATACACAAAAACATAAGAAAATTAGCGGACAAAAAACAATAAAGATTATAAGATATATAAGAAATATANATTAACTTACGTCGGTCGAATATTCAAGAGAATATTAATTTCTTGCGTATATGTGAAATTTCGCGAATTATACAGATCCACTTCTCAAATTTCGGGATTTTTATTTTTCAGGATTATACATGTCCAACATATAGTGCATCCATTTATGAAATTTATATATTTAAAACGCAACTTTAATCAGAGACAATTATTTTACTATTACATTTATTTTCCTATCATCATAGATCGATGTTAATTATCACGAGCTCCTTTACTCCAACAATATTCACTAATTGAAATCTATTATTACTCCGTCACCAATTTAACTGTTAACTGTTAGTCAATAGATATAGAATTACAATAGATAAGCATAAATTGGCAAAATTTTTAACTGAAAATAATGAAAAAATAACATAAAATAAAAAAACAAGCTTGCGCCGACTTTTTGACCATAGTACCTTTACATACTTTTACACATTCGTATGTCAAGCATTCTATTCACTGAGCAGAAAACAAAAATTGACAGTACAGTATGACCTCTCTAGAGTGAAAGCTTCGGGACCAAACTTCATTACAGAGAGGTCGCTTAGCTCCGCCCAAAGCAGGACCGTATCTAACGTACTCTAATTTTGTAGTTATTTCTAATCATTATCATATTCGAGTACATGGTTTAAATTATAAATGTGTTTTATATATATTTGCAAATGTTGAAGACTAATTAAAATATTAAATATCTATATAGCAAGCTATCATAAAACGACATTATTTTGTTGCCATAATGATAAATATAATTCGTCATTATGGTAAAATAACCAATAATTCGTCATAACGGAAAAATAATAAGTCAGATTACGATAGCCTGTTACGTAGGTAGTTAACATGTTACACCAACTGTAATGGTTTGTTAAAAAGTAAACACATATTTTATAAGAATATTTATTTTTTTTATAAGAATATAAAATGTAAAAAACTAAAGTCTTTTCATCAAATACGGAAGTTATATTCTACTTGACTCTGGCAACGACACGAATGCCGAATTATACGAGTGGACGATTGCGTATCGTATTGCGCAAGCGATTTTCGTCGGGTAGGTTAGAAAATTCATTACGGGGAAGTCCACTAGAAAGAGATCCATTCGAGAGAGATCCTACTGTATAAGATTATGAGAGATAGTTGCTTAATTTACACTGGCGGCTTAGCTTAAACGTGCGAGACACATACACCAGAAAGAAAGGAAATATAGTGCATGTGCAAAAAATAGCCCAAGTGCAGAAGCTTACTGCACTCAGCCTCGTCCGAACCGTCCGAACAGTCCGGGTTGTCGTCACACATCCATGTTAATGCCACGCACTCGCCATTTCCCGAATGACACGTGAATTGTTCCGGCGTGCAGGTCTTGGTTCCTACAAGATGACAATTGTATTGGACAAGTTTTTAGCACTCGAAAAATACACGATGCACTTGTACAAGGGCACGGGCCTCATAAAATATACATTATTATTACTATTCGGTTATATCAAAGCAATGGATTTTGAAAGACAGATTGTATTGAATGCCCTGCATAGGCGGACTCGAAGCATGTAAAAGTAATACTCTTTTTGTTGAACAAATTGAGAATTGAGTTTTAAACGATATGCATTTTACAGAGAAAATTAAAAAGGTTAAAAAAAAGCAAACAGATCAAATATAAACTTTTTTCCTTCCTTCCCAAAAATTTATTCACTTTAAAGTTAACATGATTTTTAAATATTAGTCCTTCGATTGCAATTCCATCAAAATTATTACTTCAATCCCCAGCCTCAAGTTGATTTATATGAAAAAATGTTGTGTTATATTTGCGTGTTTGTAATTATACACGTGCAATTAATGTATATAATTCTTAAAAGCTTACCGTATACTGAAAGAATATGATTTAAAGAAAAATTAGATTAAGTAACATGCACAAAAAAGCAATGTTTTTAAAAACATTGCAGATTATATCAATTAGTAAGTAGAAAAGAGTCATCAGGAATACTCGGTTTCAATGTAGTTTAAACATATTTTTTATGTAGTTCGGAACGCGCATAGCCAATATGTCCAATATAAAAGAAGTTATCTTTTGAGAATTATTCCAAATCAAATTATCCAATTAGACACTAACTGTATCTCGAACTATATCGAAAAAAGCGCTAACTTTTGAAACACCTATGCTGAAACCCTAGACATAGTAAGAATAGACCGAGTATGTCCTCTAGTAAACAGTAAAGATCAGATAGTAAAAGACAGACAATAGGTGTCATTCAGCTTTCTTTCTCTGATGAAGAAAGAGTGGGAAGAAAGAGGGGTAAGAAAGAGTGGGCAGACAGCTGAATACTCGATCGTTCACACTAATTTTTTTTATATTATATAAATATTTTTTTAGTATGTAAACGATCGAGTATTCAGCTGACTTCTCATTCTTTCTCACCCCTCTTTCTCCCCACTCTTTCCTCATCAGAGGGAGAAAGCTACTCGGTACTTATTGTCCATCTCTTTCTATCTGAATTTCAGTTCTCGCGTCTCATGCTCGGTCTATTCTTACTATGTCTATGGTTAAAATGAGGGATGGACAATCATCGACCGATGAATTGATTCTTTTTTCTTTAAAAAATCGTTTGTTTTTCAATGTTTTTTTATATCGATTATTCCCTATCCTTATAGGATATTGTGTTACTCGTTCAGATACTCGTTGAGATACCTATAGCTTCAGCAATATCGCACATATGAACTCGGCGATTTTTTATCACGATACCATGGATTTTTTCAATTATTTCCTCTGTAAAACAACCGATGATTTCGATTGGGCATTCGAAGAGCGATTCATCCTTAGTTCATATACGTTTAAACTCATTTATCCAGAAATAAACAGTCTTTAACGCTAATGCAGAGTCTTCATGAACTTCATCCAACCCGGCTTTGATCTGCGTTAATTTCTTCAAATAAGAATGTTGCGTGAGAGAGATTTGTGAATAATGCAATACCTAACACTAACAGAACTCGTCGGTGTTTCTGGACATGATTAGCCAAACCTCGCAGTGACCCAAAATAAACATTGCAATATCATTTTATAACGGTCAGCACGTCAAATAGAGAAAAAGAATACTGGAAATGCATACTGTGCGGATCCTTCTGGAAATTACCCAATAAGAACATCCACGTACAATCGATGCGATTTCACGTGGAATCCATATAAAAAAGTCGGTTCCACGTCACTTTCACGTCGATCCCAAGTTGATTCTCATGGGTGTAGGAGTTCCATTTTCGACAGCGTATGAATGACATACGCATGCAAAAATGTATAATATACGTAACGTGATCTGAGAATCGGGTTTTTCATTTGATCTAATACTAAAATTATTAATATATAATCGATTTTATTGGACAAAAACTTTTTGGAAATGAGACAAATAAGTACCAAATGAGCTGATGTTTGAGTCGATATTATAATTAAGTAAAAGTGAGCCGAAGTGGGACCAAAGCTTATTTATTAGTATATTGTTAGCCATTTTATTATGAATATAATTAGCTCCAACATTAGCTTATTTGGCTTTTACTTGCCTAATTTCCAAATTTAGAGAATTGTTTCTTTGAGTGGAAAGCAGTAGTAGTTTTATTCAACTTTTTAAGAGAATAGCACTTTTTTCAGCTCCAGTGAAAAACTGTCACTCGCAATTGCAAGAGTGAATGCTCCACTCAAGCTCATAGTGGTTTATGAGTGAGCTTTGGCTTATAATCTTGATTTAAGCTTTAAGTCGAATGGCTAAACAGTTAATTATTCTTCTTGCGTCTCAAGAATAATCGACTGTGGTTGGTCAGTTACTTATAAATTAAAGCAAGGTTGCAGATCCAGATTAATAGTTTTACTCGAAATCTAAAAATGAATCTAGTATATTCTATGTCGCAGGAGCATATTTATTTTGATTTAAAAGTGCATTCATATGGATTCATAATCCACTCTCAGCTTAAGTAGGACATTCATTCCAATGATTGCGAGTAGAAGTATTTTCACTACAGCCTGCGGAAGAGTTGCTCTATGAGTATCGGCTGTAGAGGCTATGTAAGAATCACTATGTAGGAATCACATTAATTATCATATTTGCCTATTTTGTTTTAATTATTTTGTTACTTTTAATTAATCTATAATATGAGGACGACAACATTTGCAGTGTATTATATTGGTTTGCATGTTATTGACCGTAGTTATAGATCGGATTGTGTTAATCTTAAAATACGAGCATTATACACAAAAATGACATTGTTCATTAATTGTAATATTTATATTTTCCAGAAGTCGCTGTAGTATATAATATTATCTACACAAATTGTGCCATAGTATAAAATCTACACTATGAAAGTGAATTAGAAACGGCAAATACATAAAATATATCGAGTGTGGCATGGCAGACAGTGCACTGGTCTACCATACTAGCGGTCCCAGGTGTTCGATCCCGGTAGAAACCAAAAATATTTATCGTGTCTTTTCTCGGAAGGCAATGGGCAAACCACCGAGAGTATCTTTGTCAAGAACAGCTCTCTAAATAATATGCCGTTCGGAACCGGCATTAAACTAGGTCCCATATGCCTGTGTACAAACAGCGTACGCACTACAGGCATATGAGAGAGGTCACCTACGCCTGCATAGGTATGGTACTATTAGAAGAAATACATAAACAGTTTAAATATAATGGATTGTAATAATATATTATGTATAGTTTTATCTATTATATCTTTGCCTTTTTTCAGATAACTGAAAAACATTCTGAAATGCATAAATATAGCAATTGTATAGTTATAAGCATGTACAAAGCAAGAAATTATATTTTAACATACAAATATGCCAGATAAGGAAGGTTCAACAGAAAGGTTGAGATATATTTTCCTTCATCTGTGCCTTTTCACTCGCCACACGCATACACACTCATGCATGTACATAATACATTAGGAATTTTTAAAAATGGTAAAGTTTTCGTTATAATTCATTGTGACAGTAAAAAACTGTGTAGAATAACGATAACATACAATACGATAACGTATTATTTTGCAAAATTTGTCCTACAATTATTTATATATTTAGCATTAATTGATATTGACAAAATGTTTGCACATAATAATGTAACGTTAATAATTTGTATTTTTACCTAATTACACTATACAATTTACTGTTTTACATACCACCATACAATTAAAAAAATTTTTTTATTTAGTTTTTATTGTGCTCAAAATAAGTTAATATATTATTTATATGCTTTTATTATTATGTACATAGGATTTATGTACTCTAAATATCTATTACGCGATAACGCGTGATCGGCCGTTTGGTGAGAATTCGCATCACGCGATATCGCGTGATTGGCAATGAACGTGTTAAGGAAATTGGACATTTTATACTTAATAACCTAATATTATTAACAGGTGATGAACATACGGATATAGTCCTATTACTAACAGGCGTAAACTATTCAAATGTCATAAATTGGTACAGAATCATAAACATGACTTTATTTATTTATTATTTATTTAAACATGACTTAAGCATGACAATTTATAGGCTAAGAACCCATATTTACACTAGGTAATTTCATTAAAAAATTCAATTTGACTTTTATACGACTCCATTTAAATTAAACTGTTATCAACAGTAGGTAGACTTTTTAAGCTTTGTAACTTTATCTCTTATATATATTTTATTATTAAAGTTAGTAATTTTCGAGATATTTTAGTTTACAGATATTTGGGGAATCCTTTTTCAATTAACAAGAAGTTTAACCTTTAAAAATCTTTCTAAATTAAATAATTTATTGTATTTTACTGCTTATCTCCGGAAATCTTAATTTAATTAGCAAACATCCACAATTATTATCATACATAGTATAAAATAAATCTAATTAAAATAACTTTGTGGTGTTAATAAAGATTAAATTATTGACAGAAGAGAAGGGAGGAGGGAAAGAGAGGAGAAAT